ATTTTGTTTTTGGTGTATTTTGTTTTGTTTTTAGTGCGTTTTGTTTAGTTTTTCGTGTATTTTGTTTGGAAGTCGGTTTTGTTTTTTTATTGTAGAAAGTACCGATTCTACTGGCAATCCGAAACGGTATCTTTTTGTAATCTCTCGTCATTAACTTAAATAAATTTGTACAGTAAATTTTATAGCAAGTTTTCGTCCTACTTTCATGGGTAGGAAATAAAATATCTCGTTGGCATAGGTATGCGGCAACCCACGCAAGGCCGACGTTCTGCAACGTGTGTCGCGAGCCGCTGGGCGCGCTGGGCACTGCGCACGCGCTGGCCTGCGAGCTATGCAAATATAAGGCACATAAGCGTTGTGCCGCGCGCGCCCCCCCATCCTGCAAATGGACCACACTTGCCTCCCTAGGGCCACATGTTGTGGAGGACGCTGAAGGGGTTAGTGTTGTCAATTTCTGTACCTCTAAGTAATACAGTAGACTTGTCGTAGCCATGCACTTAATATGAATTACATGTTATGAGTAGTAGTTTTTGTAAAAAATATATGATTTTAGTTAAGAAAATTTTGTATCATAACTTTATCACAGTGAAAATTTATGTGTAATTCTTTTTATCGACGTACAAATTTATTCGTCTATGCTAAAATTATTAGCCGCGTAGGGACCGGATGGTCATAATTCAACATCCTTCCTCGCATCAAAACCCTTGAGAGGGATGCTCGTTGCTCGTTAATTTGGGAAAGCTTTCAACACAAAATAAAATACATGTTCCGCCCCATCTTTTGTGAATCTTATCTTTACAAATTTTCAATCCGTACGCTTCATTGAAAATAATCCAGTCATTTGAACCTTTCAGCATTGAAATATAATCAAGAGTCACATAATAAAAAAAAGGATACGTTTTTCAAAAGATATATTATCTGTTTTTGCATTAGTATGAACAACAAATAAAGTAGATAATAGTAGAATTGAAATAATTATCTTTAAATTTAAAACAATAATTCATACAGGCGCCTAGCGATTTTTATTAGCAAAACATCAAGACTGTGTTATTGATGCAACACTTTGTTTTAGAACATAATAATGCCGCACCAATGGCTTGAGGGCAATCTGCCGGTTGCCGCCAAGTGCGACATTTGCGACAAGACCTGCGGCTCCGTGTTGCGGTAAGCAATCTTGGTTCTTTATACAAATAAATCCCTAGTGCTTTTGAAATTTCTATTTATATGGCGACATCAGCTACCTAATCAAGTAAAAGTTAACAAATTCATTTTTGTTATTTAAGGTTGTTTCTAAAATATTACCAACTTAATGTTCTATGCTAAATTAATTTACTAATTCATTGTTACAATAATACCACAGTATACGTTTTGAATTTCATTCAAACGTAAAGCGGAATGACTCTACAAATAGACGTGTGCAATTTGCACGCTTCAGTGAACTGCGGCCAGCGGAGTGCTATTACTGTGATGGTCTACACTAATCGTTGTTACCGCACGATGTCTATATACTCGTAAACTAGAACTGTTCCTATGCACAGACATAATAGTCTTTTGTTTATCGTTAGCTAATACTAAGTACTCATAGTCATTGGACGCTAAAGTCCTTTAGTGTTAATTAGGCAGGTTAATTCTGAACCTAAGAAAAATCATTTGATTTTAGTGCCCCAGTAATTTTAATGCTAGTAAATTGTTTGTTTAAATTTAGGCTTTTTTTATGAATGAATCAATGTTCCTTTTATAGTTGATTAGTTGTTGCTCGCGACTTCGTCTGCGTGTAATTTAAAAAATAGCCAAAGTTACTCAGTGATAACATAGCTTTTTAATGTTGCAAGAATTTATTAAATGTTTCAAGTAGTTTTTGAGTTATTTCAATACATACAAAAATACAAATTTTACCTCTTTATTTAGTTAGCATAGATTCCCAAAAAACTCATTATTTTATTTCGTATTCTTATAAATGTAAAAATAACAACCTCAATTTTATTCTACTTTTATTGGTGTCTAAATGCGAAGGTATGTATATATCAGTGTTGAGGACATTCCGGGGTTTGGTATAATAAGGGTCACTCTACACGTTCCGGGCGACATTACTGAAAGCGGTTTGAATTTAAAATGAAGCATTTCCCGTATGTCGGTCACCCAGATCTTATTTAGACCGAGCGATGACTGGTGGGAAGTGTAGCTACGATACGGGACCGAATGCATAACATTTAAATGTTACCGCAGAACTTTTACCACAATCGTTAACGCATGTTATCAATTTTATTCCCTTTGATAAAACAGAGAGAGTATGTATACAAGTATGACTGCAATTAAATTATACAATTACGTAAAATGTACAATATACAGGATGATCTGAAAGTTTCTAGACATTATTTTATATGGCGGTAAAAAAGAGAAATTTAAATAGAGACTTCCGATTAGTCGGTGCCAAAAACAGACTAAGTATATGTTAGCTTTTTTAATTACTTCTGCAACACAATACAAAGGATTTTTTATTATAATTTAAGTAATATGTCTAAATGTCTATTACAATAAAAAAAATATTTTTACAATAGTACACGATTGCGCGTCGGATAATGGTATAGTTTAACAATGTAGTACATTATAATACAAAGCCGTGTTAAAGCTTTACAAAAGCTCCGCGCAAGCTTTGACCTACATTTTATATTTCTGCAACTCGCCAGGGAGCGTTAGAAGTTTTTAAAATTTCTCACAAAGATAACAACTAATGGCGTGAAACGATTCTTGTTTGAAGTAATTTTTGTCTTCTTTTAAGTTCCATTTTTGTTCTTTTCAATACTTATTTATGTATTTCATAACCGTAAGAAAGTCTAAGTGATAGGTCAATCTAGATATGGGGTAACGACAGTAAACATAACTAAGTTAATTAATGTAATACCTAAAATTAATTTCCAAGACTGAATGAAATATTTCTCGATGTTATAAACTTACAAATAAATCATTAATCAATTTCATTTAACGAAGTTGTACAGTACTCCACAAAGTTTCGCCCTCTCTTTGTTAGACTTGGTATAGATTTCAGCAGGCGCTCGTCGCCCGACTTGAGTGCACTTGGTACAAGAATTGTCTAACGACTTCGGCTCGGGTTGCCGACACTTTAGTAAACGAGATGTATTGATAGAGTTCCCTTTATGTACAAATGTCTATCTATTCCATCTGTTCAAGTGTAGATGGAAACTCATAAAATTCAATTATTTAATACAAACTTATGCTCCTTGCATTCTTCAGTTTATTCGTTAAATTTGATAATATTTAATTCATGGTATTCGGGTTCTATAACAAATTGATGAAGGGGTTAAAAACCGCTAGGTGTGGAAAAATCGGTTTATCGTCAAGGTCATTGTAAACAAAGCTTTCAACTACAGATTACAATCGATACAGAAAAAATTATGTTATGGTTTTTATTCTCCCATCCTCCGCATAATGTATTAGATCGTATTTTTATTTTTTGAACTGCCTCATAAAAAATGTAGAATTATTAATAGTGGTATCATTCATTACAAATAAATAATTTGATCAGGAAAATGTAAGTCTAACAAACTTATAAGACTCCGTAGGAATATTTCAAAAATTCCACTTTGCAAATGTATTTAATTTATTAGTCTGCAAGATTTCCGTTGCGTGTGGTGCCGCAAGTGCGTGCATGCGCAGTGCCGGCCGGGCTGGCGCGCGGCGTGCTCGCTGGGCCCCGCGCGCGCCTCCGTCGTGCCTCCCCCCCGCCTGCACTCCGTAGGTCCCGATGACGGCTGGCTACCCGACAGACCACCCAATGCCTCACCACTTATTGTATTCGTCAACTCAAGATCAGGTAGAATTTCACCAAATACATCTAAAGATCTGGACAGAGTAGCGACTGAGCCATGAGAATAGACTAAAATGAATCTATTGCAGGCGACAACCAGGGCGTAAAATTCCTGCGGCGCTTCAAGCAACTGCTGAACCCGGCGCAGGTATTCGAGCTGGCGGGCGCAGG